AGAAGAACTCGAACGAGAGATCTTTCGGTTTCTACTAGGTTTGTCACAAAGAAGAAGAGCACAGAGTGTTCGAGGCGTTGGACCTCGAGTTGATCGAGATACGGAGGATCTTTCTAGCTGACGTGGCTCGTGGTTCGTATAGTATGACCTTCGTCGGTCTACTTTACGAAGGCAGAAGCCTAAGTGGGGGGGTACGTACACCTTTTACCCTCTTCCTATTCCACTCCGATTTCTCTAACCTTTTTCACAACGATAACTAGCTATATTAATACTACTTTCGCATAAAATGACGCCAGAGTTTTCTATTCCGCGAACGTCGATTAATCCTTCCGCATCTCATATCATTTGATCTAATTCACTTCTTAACCTATTACATTATATTACATTAATGATCAAGGAATTACTTACTATAAATGCATTGCAATCTTTTTTTCAAATTTCACAAAAATTGTGAAATCTAGGTGAAAGAAACTAACGATCAAAAAAAAATAAGAGCGAAGACCTTTGAAATCCTCTGCCATGATAATAAAAAGTAGAAATCCGTGCAACGACACAATCAGTGGAGAAAAGTACAGAAATATCGATAAAATATTGTACTTGATGAAACGTTTGAAATACATATCACTCGCTTTATTTATATCAAAGAGTGGGAGGTTTGACATCCGGTTCTTCAACCCATCAAGAACAATCAACATCAGCGAAATGATATGTGAATTCAATTATTCCAAGATCTTTGCATATCGAATCTCATCAATGGACTGCAGATATTCATGCAATTTTACATCACTGTAAACCAATTACTGAAGAAATGAAACCGCTAAATAGCCGGTAATAAGTATTCTGTTTCGTTCGTTTCAATGAATGTTCTTTTAAATGTCTCAAAAATGCATAAAAAGTTACGAAAGAAGGATTATACTTTCTCTGTTTGTTATGTGGCGGCACAAACTGAAAAGGCAAATGGGGGGAGGTAGAGAGCATTCACGATGATGTGAACCAGATTATGAAAATCAGAGCGAGCTACGTAGGTTAAAAGCTCGTTGCGGCGAGCGATAATGATGTCACTTTTATTAGCCTCATCAGGGTCGAAGCATCCTCGACAGGGGATCCACTATTACCTAATAACCGACACGATCATATCATGTATCTTGTTAGTGACCTATAGTAGAAATATGCGTCCTATCGACAGCTCGTCGTGTGTATCACCACGGTCCTCTTGCATACTTGCCTTCTCGCATGATCGATTTTTAATAGCCCCGCCTGGTTTATTAATAATTTTGTCTCCTCCCTCTCTTCACCCTCTGTTCCACGTTCTTCTAACGCGTAGAATTTTAAAAAATGTAACGTAATTATGTACGTACAGGTTCTTCGAATAGTTCGATTTTTGAAGGTTTCACTTGATTCGTCGATATCTTCCTCTCTTTTTTTTTATATCAATTCCTTAATCTAAAGAAATAATAAGATATGTAAAATTTCGAATCTGATAAGATCCTTCGAATGGTTAGGTCATGTTTTTAATTTCTTGCTGATTTTCTTCTCAATTTCTTCAAGTCGAATTAACCACTATTAATAATAACCAGGTCTCCTCAATCATCAGCCGATCGGTTATTTAAGATTTCATCCAGTTTAACAATTCCGACCTCTGTTCATCTCTCTTTTGTTTTAACTATCTTATTCTTATGCATGATCGTTAGTGGAAAATTTGTTTGCATTGAAACGAGTCGATTTACTGTTTGTTTAATTTATATACTGGTTCCTATATAAGTAATTATAGCCGTTTTCAACTGTCGGTCTGTGTT